TTAATGTAATCTGTCCAGCACCGTACAGACACATTCATGTTGTAGCATCACAGACAGTAGACACAGGTAATGTAATCTGTCCAGCACCGTACAGACACATTCATGTTGTAGCATCACAGACAGTAGACACAGGTTAATGTAATCTGTCCAGCACCGTACAGACACATTCATGTTGTAGCATCACGGACAGTAGACACAGGTTAATGTAATCTGTCCAGTACCGTACAGACACATTCATGTTGTAGCATCACAGACAGTAGACACAGGTTAATGTAATCTGTCCAGCACCGTACAGACACATTCATGTTGTAGCATCACAGACAGTAGACACAGGTTAATGTAATCTGTCCAGCACCGTACAGACACATTCATGTTGTAGCATCACGGACAGTAGACACAGGTTAATGTAATCTGTCCAGTACCGGACAGACACATTCATGTTGTAGCATCACGGACAGTAGACACAGGTTAATGTAATCTGTCCAGCACCGTACAGACACATTCATGTTGTAGCATCACAGACAGTAGACACAGGTTAATGTAATCTGTCCAGTACCGGACAGACACATTCATGTTGTAGCATCACGGACAGTAGACACAGGTTAATGTAATCTGTCCAGCACCGTACAGACACATTCATGTTGTAGCATCACAGACAGTAGACACAGGTGTCCAGCACAACAAATGCCCATCACACACACTGCATCCAAGAAATGGGCAGTGTCCTTGTCTGGAAGAATGATGTCAATTGTTTGCTTTATCTCTTAGGAACACCCATATTCCATATTATACTTACAGTGTCCCATATATTTCTTTGTGACCCAACACGACTGACAGATTGGGAAATGGCTTAACAAGTGTCCACAAAGAAACTTTGTGAAGTCTTCTATTTCATATTGAGAAGCAGTGTTACTGAACAGGGTTGCTTACTAAGGAAGATAATTATACCCCCGACCTAAAAGGGCAGGAGTACATAGTTACACCAAGGTATTCTGTCCATCTGTCTGTCTGTCCTGCCGAGGACATTTTGAAAACTTGAAAACTACTACCGGTACATAGATTCTTTTCAAACTTGTTGAACACATTTTATAGCTACGTGACAGTTTCAGTGCAAAGTTTGGTTTCAATATTTGGATTGTATGAAAAAGTACAGCTTTTTTTATCATTTTTTTATTTAGAATATTTTAACTTCAGCATTTGTGAGACTTCACTAAGTTTTCTATGTGGACATTCGTGTGACTTGAAAACTACTACATGTATTCTTTTCCAATTGGTTGTACCGTTTCTATACCAATAGGAGAGGTGCAGTGCAAAGTGGATTTTCTGAAAAAAATACATATCAATATTAAACTTTGCACTGCACATCTTCTATTAGTATGGAAACTGCTCCCTAAATTCCTAAAAGAATCAATGAAGTAGTTTTCTAGTTATAGGTTGCTCTAATATTTCATTAAAAAAGAAAGAAAAATAGCTGATTTTTTGCAAGTTTTGACCATAGAATATTTCTTTACTTCAACATTTGTGCGACCTATAACTTGAAAACTACTTCATGGATTTTTTCCAATTAGGAGTACAGATTATGTATTAATAGTAGAGGTGCAGTGCAAAGTTTGATGTTGATAAGTGGATTTTCTGAGAAAATATGTTGTTGTTTTTTCATGTTTTGAACTTAGAACTATGTTGGAGTCAAAGTTGGGGGTAATAGTAAGTGTTGTTCACAGTTTGTCTTGTTCCTGTCGAAATCAGTTTATTGTATGTCAAGGTGCTGCATGTGGCTGGAGAGAACGTCTCAACATCCCTAATCGCCAGTGCTTGGACGGACCATATTAGGTTTGGTGGGCAGCTTCCTGAAACTAAGAGAGGTTATGACAAGTGGACTCATGTTCGTTTGAAGACTTTTACATCCAAAGACTGCCTGTTGAATGTTAAGCTGAGTGTTCGGCCTCTGATGCTGTGATGTTGCAGATATTGTTAGAAAGTGTATCTTTGATGCAGAGGTCTTTGAGAGAAGAGAGGTGATGTTTCAAGTCTGATGGTGCTATTCAATCTGTCTAAGTGCCTATCTATTGATCATGGCCATTCCTCAATATCTTGTCAGACAAACGGCAAGCAAATCTGTGCCTCCCATCGTCCTGAGTCCAGCACGTTCTGACTGTTTCTCTGCCAGTCCCACTGTGCCAGCCACACTTGGGATTGAACTGATACATAGAAACTTTGAGCCAGCAGTTGTTAAAAAGCAAGTAATGGATTGGTATGACCCTGAGATGATGGTGGGTGTTCCAGTAGTTGAAGACTGTAGTTGATGAGGTGCTACTTGCTGTCTCTGGCTGGCAGGGTGGGGCAGGCATCATATGACATGAAAACAGAAGCACCTAATGGAGAATATGTTTGATGACTTGTACAGTTTCTCTAATGTGTTCGTTGACTTGTACATAAGCTCCAATGTGTTTGACGATTTATAAAATTACTCCAGTGAGTTAGGTGATTGTACAAATGCTATGTCATAGCTGATGAGTATCTATAATATGATGCAATTAAGAATGTGTGTATTTGTGATGATAGATTGCATTTGTCAGTTATATTCAGGAGAAACTTAAAGTTATGTACCATATGTCGCTGTGTATAAGGCGAGTTTGTCGTACCTACAATTAGGGGGCTTTCAAGGGGGGGTCATCTTATACACAGGATTGAAGAGTTTTGATGTTTTTTTCCCCAACTTAAAGACATTACTGTGAGCATGAAACATCAGAAATACCATGTCAACAAATCCATCCTGAAGTTCGTAAACTAATCATGTAATTATACTCTCTGGTTATAAAAAGTTTTTATTGGTTATCTGGACTTATGTTTGTAATCTATTTTATTAATTTTATTCCAAATTTCATTCAATATTTATTTACATTTATTTCGTCAAAATTGTGTGTGAAGTGATCGAAAGATGGCACATCTCACCGTTATTTACACCAACCCATGGTCAGATTATATGTCCACATAAAGTTTTCGGACGATACAATGTATTTTAGCCTTCGGAAGACAAATATGTTTTTATTGCAAATGGAGGGATTGTGTATGCGCTGGTGATGTGCTCCATTCCGAATCGCTTTATAGGCGGGTTTATAAATTAGCATCAATTTTGAAGGCTTTTACAGTGGGGTTGCCTTATATGTGGGATTGCTTTATAGACGGTGATATACGGTAGGCAAAAGAGCTTGATTATTATTTTGTATAAAAGCATTTAGTGTCAGTTGTGTACATGTTAGTACATGGTATTTGAGTGATCTCCAAGATATGTACATGGATTGTCTGATTGTCCATGAATACATGTTGGTGTTGTTTGCATTTCTGTATTCACCTTGATGACAGTAATGACGTGATATTGATGTGGTGTATTGTCCCTGGCGTGGGAGCATTGGCCGTCTGGCTATTGATCCCCACACAAAGCTACTATAGCAGCAGTCTCTTGTAGTTCCGTGTTGCCAAACATTAATAAGTTCTTTGTTACAAAATATATAACTAGTCATGCGATACACTGGTGTGTGGACAATGGCTTTTTCATCTTTAAAACCGTAATGACTTATTTCACAAGTGGATCCATTGAATATTCATTGAGAAACTGGAGATCTGTACTAACCATCTATTTATCATCCAAATTGGCTTCCACAGGAGAGATTTGGTGAGATTAAGTGATATCTCCTAGGAGATATTGCTATAGTGAATTGTATCAATGTGTTGCAGACCATTGTGACATCATCGGGTACCATGACATCACTTATCTTTCTGCATTTTACACTCAGGGCACTGGTTATTACACTTTACAAACAGAAAAAGTTGGAAGTATGATTTTGGATGAGAAGTAGAATCTCAGCCTTTGACACCCTCTCTGTGTTCAACAGAGGTTGATGAAGGCTGTATTAACCCTCTCTGTGTTCAACAGAGGTTGATGAAGGCTGTATTAACCCTCTCTGTGTTCAGCAGAGGTTGATGAAAGGCTGTATTAACCCTCTCTGTGTTCAGCATGGGCTGAATAATGCTGTATGAGCCCTCTCTGTGTTCTGCAGGTGAGGGGTTGATGAAGGCTGAATGAACCCTCTCTGTGTTCTGCAGGTGAGTGAGTGAGGTAATGCTTTACGTCACATCGGCAATATTTCAGCCATATCGTGACGAGAAATTAGACATGAAATATACATATATTTAAACTTTATAAAAATCTGTCATCGAAGGACAGTATGAGAACTAGAATATCACAGATAAGATTTTAAAACTAGTTGCGGAACATTTAAAAGAATTAAGTATTAAGGAACAAAACAATATAAAAATGGGCTAGAGATCGTCAGTAACTAAAGGGAGATCACCACACCAGGGACCATGGGGACTTACAGTACCTTTGCTTCCTGCATGGACCCTGGCAGGATTTACACCATCCCTTCAGTCACTGGCGATTTCTGCAGGTGAGGGGTTGATGAAGGCTGTATTAACCCTCTCTGTGTTCGGCAGGTGAGGGGTTGATGAAGGCTGTATTAACTTTCTCTGTGTTCAGCAGGTGGGGGGTTGATGAAGGCTGAATTAACCCTCTCTGTGTTCTGCAGGTGAGGGGTTGATGAAGGCTGTATTAACTTTCTCTGTGTTCAGCAGGTGGGGGGGTTGATGAAGGCTGTATTAACCCTCTCTGTGTTCTGCAGGTGAGGGGTTGATGAAGGCTGTATTAACCCTCTCTGTGTTCTGCAGGTGAAGGGGTTGATGAAGGTTGTATTAACCCTCTCTGTGTTCTGCAGGTGAGGGGTTGATGAAGGTTGTATTAACCCTCTCTGTGTTCAGCAGGGGCTGAATAATGCTGTATCAGCCCTCTCTGTGTTCTGAAGGTGAGGGGTTGACGAAGGTTGTATTAACCCTCTCTGTGTTCTGCAGGTGAGGCGTTGATGAAGGCTGTATTAACCCTCTCTGTGTTCAGCAGGTGAGGGGTTGATGAAGGCTGAATTAACCATGCTTTTGTATGTTTTCAGCGCGGGGAGTCGCGGGAGGGACTGATGAAGGAGCTGGAGAGGGAGAGGATGCTGAGAGTGGATGCTGAGCAGCGGCTCCTGGAGATGAGGTTGGAGAGTGACTCCTGCCGCTCCAGGCTTCAAGCTCTGCAGGAGGAGTTCAAAAAGTAAGTATATGTGTTGTAGTGCAGGGGACAGCAGTAGCTGGCTGGCTCGTACAGGGGCCAGGCACAACAGTATACAGTCGTGCCTCGTTTATACGGACACTTGCGTCATTTCACAATTCGTCCGTATAAACAAATTTCTGTATAACTGAAACCAGCTTCTTACTGGAAGAGTTACTTCCCTTCAATTATGCAACTCATGACAGATGACAGAGCAAACAGATACATCCATTTTCCAGGAGATTTAGCCACTTCTGCTTGTCTTTTAAAAAATGTCACCAATTGTCGATTTTCCTATGGTATGTCCAAATTCAGTGCCATAATGCTTACTGATGGTTTCTAAACTTGCTGAAGGGTGTTTTTCTTTAAACAGACATTTTTTTCCCTTTTTTCGCGTGCTGTAACTGCCTGTCGCTTACGTTTCGCTGGTTGACAGGCCATACTTACACAACTTTGACCTCTGACCTCCACAGACGCCATATTTATCGAAGGGCATTACATGTAGAATAAACAAGCTCGTCTCAAACGTAACTCAGTGTCACTTGGTTAATTGACTTCTCACGAATCAAAGGATTACCACCAGCGGAAGGATGACCACCAGCGGAAGTGTATTGTCCGGATAAGTGAGACAATTTTGTGTTCATTTCAGTGTTTTGTGTATGAAAATGACCGTCCAGTTCCGGAAACTGAATTTCTGGATATACGGGTAAATTTATATAGTAATTATTTCGTTTTGAATGAAAATCGTCCGGGAACCAAGGTTTCCAGATATCTGAAGTCCGTATAAACAAGGCACGACTGTATGTCTTGTAGTGGTGGGGATAGCAGTATATGTGTTGTAGTGGTGGGAACAGCAGTATATGTGTTGTAGTGGTGGGAACAGCAGTATATGTGTTGTAGTGGTGGGAACAGCAGTATATGTGTTGTAGTGGTGGGAACAGCAGTATATGTGTTGTAGTGGTGGGAACAGCAGTATATGTGTTGTAGTGGTGGGAACAGCAGTATATGTGTTGTAGTGGTGGGAACAGCAGTATATGTGTTGTAGTGGTGAGGACAGCAGTATATGTGTTGTAGTGGTGGGAACAGCAGTATATGTGTTGTAGTGGTGGGAACAGCAGTATATGTGTTGTAGTGGTGAGGATAGCAGTATATGTGTTGTAGTGGTGAGGACAGCAGTATATGTGTTGTAGTGGTGGGAACAGCAGTATATGTGTTGTGGTGGTGGGAACAGCAGTATATGTGTTGTAGTGGTGGGAACAGCAGTATATGTGTTGTAGTGGTGGGAACAGCAGTATATGTGTTGTAGTGGTGGGAACAGCAGTATATGTGTTGTAGTGGTGGGAACAGCAGTATATGTGTTGTAGTGGTGGGAACAGCAGTATATGTGTTGTAGTGGTGAGGACAGCAGTATATGTGTTGTAGTGGTGAGGACAGCAGTATATGTGTTGTAGTGGTGAGGACAGCAGTATATGTGTTGTAGTGGTGAGGACAGCAGTATATGTGTTGTAGTGGTGAGGACAGCAGTATATGTGTTGTAGTGGTGAGGACAGCAGTATATGTGTTGTAGTGGTGAGGACAGCAGTATATGTGTTGTAGTGGTGAGGACAGCAGTATATGTGTTGTAGTGGTGGGAACAGCAGTATATGTGTTGTAGTGGTGAGGACAGCAGTATATGTGTTGTAGTGGTGAGGACAGCAGTATGTGTGTTGTAGTGGTGGGAACAGCAGTATATGGGTTGTAGTGGTGGGAACAGCAGTATATGTGTTGTAGTGGTGAGGACAGCAGAATATGTGTTGTAGTGGTGGGAACAGCAGTATATGTGTTGTAGTGGTGAGGATAGCAGTATATGTGTTGTAGTGGTGAGGACAGCAGTATATGTGTTGTAGTGGTGGGAACAGCAGTATATGTGTTGTAGTGCTGGGGATAGCAGTACATATTATTATCAATGATTAAAGAAAACAGCCCTGTTTTCACAGTTTAGAATAAATTGCATAATTGGCACATATGCTGTCAAAGATGGATTTTGACTGTCCTTTTTGCTACAGATAAGTTTAGCTCAGAGGTAAATAATAATAAGTAATGGATTCAAATAGTTCCTGAATCAACTGATATTTTGGATTATGAAAGCTGCTTTAGATGCTTTAGATATCTCTGCAATATCATAAACCTTATTCAGTGATGCAGCTTGCAAGGAGGGATGAATCCATGTGATCGCACGAACAGGTCATAATCTAGCAACCCCTGAAGATTCCGGAGTAGAACAGGTCTTCAGCAACCCATGCTTGCTGTAAAAGGTGACTATGCTTGTCCTAAGAGGCGACTAACGGGATCAGGTGATCAGACTCGCTGACTTGGTTGATGCATGTCATCGATCCCAATTGCGTGGATCGATGCTCATGATATTAATCACTGGATTGTCTGGTCCAGACTTGATTATTTACAGACCACCGTCATATAGCTGGAATATTGCTGAGTGCGGTGTTAAACAACAAATCAACCAACCAACCATAATCTAGCATTATGATCCTAGTCATTTTCAATCAGCTTTTTACCAGTTTCTATGGGTGATATCAGATATGTGTTTGAGTGTTTTCTGTGTGCTGTGCATGGCGAGTATCTCTAATTAGGGTGTCTCTAGGGTTGTCCCCAGTCTAACATGGACATGGTTATCAGCCATCTACAATTGTCATTACTCCACTGCCATGATAATATCACTAGTCCAAATGAATGATTTCCCTAGCTTGTCGATAATCCACCGCCAGAATGTCTGTCAAAATTTGATTATTTCATCTCAAAGGGACTCTCTATTCAAGAAACGATAAAAACTATAGATTTGCCGGAAATCTGAATAGCAGCAGGACAGTGGGGATGGTGGCTGTCTAAGTTGTGTGTCAAGTAAGGCTAGTTCACTGGGAGAAGGAACATGGCAACAGGGAGTGTCACCTCTGCCAAAGGCAGGATTTCTAGGCAGCTGATGGAGTTGTTTGTCAAAAAGATATATTTTCAGAGTTTGTAAGCATTCTGTTAGTCCTGCACCATGACTGTGGAATATATTTATTCTATGAAAACAAAACACAATCTAGAAACGTATACAAAAGCAAGTCTAGCTAGCTCTATCAGCCTTGGGAAAATTATTTTTTTATTTTAAGAGTGAAGAAGGGTATTGTGTACTATAAGATTTTATAGACTAAATGTTAGTCTAGCATTCTGTCTATGAGAAATGATATGGGTGTTAAAGTGTTTGTATGATAGAGTGGTGTATGTGTCAGGTTTGATGTATTGGGGTCAGCTGGTACCTGCATGACCCTTGCCAGCTGATAGTGGCCCAGTTGTTGGGCTGCCCTGTCACTCACTGATTACAACCTGTGGAAGGCAAACATTTTTATTCAATTTATACTTTTTATGTTAGTTTTTACAAGTTCTGTTCATCCATCTGTTTCATGTGAACATATGTTATCAAGCACACGTATCATTGACTTGATAGAGAAGTTGCAATCTGGCTTCAATTAACTAATCACATTCTTCCAGATTGTAATAGGAATCATTTGAGTTGATAATGAGAAAACGTGGACATTTACCGTCTTAGAGTATTTGAGATTTGAGCTAATGTTTATAATTACCCAATTACCATAATCAGTGGTAAACGTACACAAGCCTATTAAGGAAGAAAAGATCAGCAGTCCTTTTTTATAAGTGACTTAATCTCAAGTCCATCAACACCATTTTCAGAGCTTGTCTGTTTTGATCATCTCCTGGTCAGTAAATGGAGTTCGGACATATCAACCACAGGTCAAGGGTGAAGTGATTGGCAAATCAATCATGTATTAAACAGGCACACCCGCAGGCATTTAATCCCCCGGCTGCGGACAGACTCAGCCTATGTGGAGCCGCTCTCTCTCCAACATTTTCCTAGAGCTGTACCATTTCTTTTACATCAATTCATGATAGAATTACTCAGAAACCAAATCTATCTTTAGTGCAGAGTAAAATAGGCACAATTTCTGACCCATCCTGCCAAGGCTGAAACTCTGGAAACACACCCGCGTTAAACTAATTTCCTCCAAGTCGACAAGCTTCGTAATCAATGAGATTTAACGGTGCTGCAAAAACTAATCTTTTGTCTGTTATCCGATCACCAAAAAGCTGAATCCTTTCATCTGCAATAATCGGAACAGCTTTGAATATTTTCCATACAAAAATTTGATGAATTGCATGGTTACACTAAAATAGCCATGGGGTACAACAAGAAAGGATATGATTTTATTACTCTCTTGTATGAACATAGAATGTCTCACTTTGTGGCAAGTTTGTAGAAATCTGTAATACTAGTTTCATCCAGTAGTGCTGATGATGCCAGTTCTTTCCAAGACTGGACTCAATAGAAGGTGTACCATAGCTTCTCTGTTTGGCCAGCACTTTATTGGCTTTGTAGAATATTTGTCAAACTGTTTTTGAGTTATTATAGTGTTTGAAATTTCAATAAATCTAATGTAAATAGCTGCATCATTTTGCATTCAGTGTTCCTTTGGATGATTTTGATTTCTTGAGATTTGTAAACGTATCATTACTCTCCAACCTTGCTAAAAAGGCATATTCTGCGGCAACCATAATCACTAACAGTAATGACAAAATTAGGTTTGCACGAATGCTCCATTGATAAGCGAACTTCATACCCTGGTTGCGTGAATCGTTCTCTATTTAGGAGGGAAAAAAGGTGACCTCTGCATCTTAAGATGTGACCACAGGCAGTACTCACTGTTACGAACACATCTCAAGTCGACTGTGTAAATTCCCTTGATGACTTTTGTTCTCAGTAACGCATGCTGCTTCCAAATGTTCAGCTTTTACAATTGAGACCTTTGATGAAGCAAAGCATTAATCACAAATAAGGTTTTGGTGATCTTTTTTTGATCAAATAACATTCATGGTTGTGTGAGTTTTGGATGATGTCCTGACAAATTGATTAAAATACACTCCTGAGAGGAAGGACCTAGACTGTCCCT